AAAAAAAGCCCTGGTTCTAGTTCCTGTAGATGATACTTAACATTAATGGTCAGCTGAAACTGATAGCTGTACATGTTTGTATGGGGAAATGTTTCTTGGTTGCCTCTCTGAAAGCAGCTGTCACAAAGTGTAGGTCCCAAGGAATTGCAGGGAAACTGGCCTATAAGAGACCATGTATAGTGGCCAGCTCCATTAGGATATTTTGTAAAAATGTAAGGAAAAGACAAAGTGAGTGAGAATGCATGATGTACAGCAGAAGAGGCTCTGGTTGAACATTTTCTACAAGGATGGAACCTATTTTTAGTAGAACAGTAAGGGGGCACCAGTAATGGGAAAAGAGAAAATTGTTATATTTTAGTCAATACTCTGAAGAAAGGTCTATCACGGGCATGGGACTCTCAGTATCCATTAGGTAACTCCATCCATTAAGAGAAAACTGCAAGAGTTACTTCTGTAACCTCCTGAAAAAGCTCCATACCTTTACTTTGAATTATTTTTTCCAATTGCCCGTTATGCTGTAACTGGCTTCAATACTACTAAGTGGTCCAGAGTACAACATCTTAAAAATTGTATTCTCCTCCCTGCTTTCAACTGACTCAGTTGCTGAAGTCTGCTAACAAATGCCTGTAAGGTATTCAATTTTTAAAAAAAATATATACTTGCTTAAAGAAGAACAACACTTCCTTCCTAACTTCTAGGCCTTTACACATTATCACTTTGCCCTCACTGGTGTTCACAACGTCTCTTAATTTAGCAGCAAGTTGTTAATATGCAAGCATACACTATTCCCGCTTCTAGATTATTAAAAATGCTAAACAAAACTTCCCTAAGGTACTTTACACAACAGAGTGCATTCAAGTAGTTTATTCTAAGTCCTATTCCCAAATATTCTAATTAGCAATGAACGGCTATGTATCAATTCTCTCTTTTGCTTAGTATGACTACCTCCAAATGCTATACAACCATGAGGATACATTTCCACATTAATTTTAGAAATATATTCAGTTGTACGTGGGTGTATTATTATAACTCCAGGTCTATGCAAGTAGCTTAAAACATCCATTATGACTACTTCAGACAAAGTAGTTTCAGAATTACAACAAAGATCCAACTGAACTAGAACGTGAACAATTAGTCTGAAAACAGAAAAGGGAATGACAAAGTAAATGTAGAATTTTTTTTTATTAAAAACCTAGACTAAACCACATACGTGGAAGCTGATCCTCCAGATTATACTCAAGAACAATGCCCAGAGACTGCTTTCTGCAAATGGCAAGACACACCGGCCATTTTTCAATTCACATTATGATCAGTTACTTTGCATTCTGCTCTGCATGTCTGCAAACTCATTTCTATGTAAGAAAATATATCTTTAAGCCAAAAATGTTAGAGGGCCTTATGCATCACCTTGCGTTTACCAACCAGCAATGTTAATGAAGGTGCATAGAGCTTGAACATTGAATTGTTAGATTATACATCAAACTTAATCTGTCAGTCATCTTCCATTCAAACCAGTAATCTACAAAGGTGACAAAAAGTAAATATACCTCTCTCTGATATACCAGATGTATCATATTCCCTAGAGCATCAACGTGCTAATACCACCACCAAGGACTGAAGCTGAAGAAAACCCTTACACGTTTGATCCTTTACATACAAGTAAAATAAGCCATAAAAAGCAATAAATAAATAAATAAATAAATAAGCATTTTAAAAAGTTATTTTTTACCTAATGTTTACAAAGCCAGGCGGGAGGCTGGAGAAATCAATCATGATTATATTTTTTTAAGAGACGAAACAGATGTTTCTTCCTGACTAAACTGTCTACCAAGTGTTAGTCAGTGAACTGACCTGCCTGCAGGGCCATCGTATCAGCTGTAAGCCACATCAATCATTTCTTTTAAGCCATCACTTATTAGTGAATGTTGAATTTAAGGCAGACATGCATTATCAAAATGCATTTCTTTTATCTTCATTTAGTGATGTAAAATGTTTCAAGAACTCTAAAAGAACAGAGATCAAGCAATCGACTCACCAAATCAATCAAATGAGGTTAAAATGAGATGCTACTTTTCTTCAGGAGCATTCAAATATGATCCAGCTATAAAAGCTGTGACTTTTCCTTGGGCAGCCCTTGTTGACTAAGTGTTAAAAAAAGGCATTTGCCATTATAACAGCATAAAACTAACACCTCAAAGTGTTACCTACTCAAGCCTTTTAGCAAATTTGTTAACACTTTTAGGTATATTACTCCACCTTTCTCTTAGTGTGAACTGGTATCAATTATTTAACCAGTTTTATTATGTTATTAGAATACCTGCTGATTAATCATGAATCAATGTGTCATTTTAGAACACTGCCCTTCACTTGTACAATATATTTTTTTCTTTAAAAGTGATATAATAGCAAACATCTGAAAAAAAAGCCTACAAAAATAAGAACTACTGAGCTACAAAGAAATATTTAACAGCTACCTCTTGACACTGTCTCCCCACCTATGTCATTTTAAAAAGATTTTTTAAAAAACCCAAAAACCCACATTCCAAAATACTGAACAAAATTAGGCCATTCTTGATGCCACTGCCGTCATAAATGAAATCTCTGCAACTACAACTCTTAGATGCGAGGATTAGATATGATATGATCTCCAACCTTTATTTTCACAATCAAACCCTTTAAAATATAAACACAACAAAACAGGCACAAGCAAATGTACAACTATCCAACACTGTCATGTTTATTCTTAACCACCAAAGTAAAAAAAGGACCCTTTTAATACTTAATTCTGTGAGTATTAAACAAGTAGTGTGAAAAACAAGATGCATGTAAACTATTTCTACTGCCTCTGCTTCAATGACTAGCTGAGACAACCTGTTATAGGAGGTGTTAATTGGCAATAGGAGTGCAAGTCAGAAGCATGTTCCCCATCGTCCTAACCCAGCAAGGCTAGGTCATTAAAGTGGAAATGAATTCTTTCATGCTGACTTAACTCTTGGAGTGCAGATTTTCAGCTGTTACACCTATAGACAATTGAGAGTGTGTGTTACTACTTCAGAGGGTAGAAAAACCATCCGCCTCTTTAAAGAACCATTGTGTTATGTATACAGTATGTTATTGTGTGCTACAAATAACTGTAAGAGCACCTAAGGGTTAACACACACTGCTTCATATGCAGATTTACAACTAATGCTATATAAATATATTTTAATGTGACAGTTTGTCCACTTGCAAGGGAGGAGAATGAAACAAGTAGCTTTCCGAAACAAAAAATAAATGATGATTTAATATCCAACTGAAGATTTGTGCCTGATCCCATAAGTAGCTGATATAAAGCAGGAAAGTACAAATGACTTAATCGGTTGATAGCTATCCCTATGCCTTCACAACAGTGAGGCAGGTGGAATTTTGGTCATATTTAAAGCTGAGCATGCGTCCAAACAATGTGGTTGTAAACAATGCATCCAAACAATACTAGTGTGGAAACCAGGACTAGGAGAAAACCTCTGCTCCATCATGAAGCTCTACTTAGAACCATTATAATCTTCCAGCCTAAGCTAGTTTACAGAATTGCTGTAAGAATAACATTGGGAACAGAGAGCGAAGCATAACCACCTCACCTAGTTCACTGGCAGAAAGGAAGGCTAAAAGTGTAACAGAAAAAGGAATTTTGAAAATGATCTTGTTCAGTCAAACTATTTCAAATAATAGTGCTGCTGAAATACACTTGTAATCGTCTCTTATATATGCAAGAAATGAGTAAGGTGGACTCAGATGCACTTTTCATCTGATACCTTTCCATTTTTACAATCTCATTTCGGGAGGGGGGGGGAAAACGAGCTAGTTTATTTCCACAAAATAATCTCTATCTGACTAGAAATTTATAATTTTCCTCCTTTGACCAACAAGGAGCATTAAATATATAACAAAAGGATACCAACACCAAACTGATACAGGGCATGCACACATTTTATGTACCAAAATTTCTGAAGGGGCAATGCTCCATGGGTTTTCAGACATCAACCATGCACTCTATAATCAACAGAACACTAAAAATGCCAACTAGTTCCACTGTTTGATTTGAGGAAAATCGTTAAAAGCATTCCCTTGTCCACAGACAAGTGTCAGATACTATTTAGAGAGCTTGCTGGTGGACATTCATAAGGGCATTTACTTTCCAAAACATTTATAAGGAGATATGCTAAGAAGTTATTGTGACTAACTAAAAACACCTGGCCATTATGCACAAGTGAAAAGTAGACAAAGATGTTTTGTTTCCATACATCAAGATACTGTAAAAATTTCCTTAATATGTTAGATTATTTGTCACACACAGTTATACCAGATGGGGGTGGGTTGTTTTGTTGGTTTTTTTTTTTTTTTGCAAAAACAGACACAGTTATATTGCTCTAAAGAACATATGAGCAAGGAAGGTGCCTCAGAATGCTGATTATGTGTGTGCTCTGTTTTGAAACATTAGATTTTAGCACCTCTAAAAGCCTATATAAAGCAATAATGTGTGAGAATTGATGGAAGGTCATTCGCTTTGATTAGGAAAAGTGCAGAAGAGAATCAAACTTTAGAAGTGGGGGGGGGTGTAAACAGGCTAAATTGGGGGGATTCCCTAGATAGCATGACATCACTAAAACTGACTAAACGTTTTTGGCACACACACA